GATTATTTACGTGCACATTGAAAATTTGCTCAGATGAATTTTGATTAACATGAATCTATTCTTTATGCTCAAGGAAAAAAAATCCAAAAAAGAAAATAATAATTAGACAAATGGATTAACAATTTTGAAGTGACCTGAGACGCGAAAAATTTGAGCGTTCGTAAGATTTAACTTTTTTATATTTAAAATTGATTTGAGTCGTAAAAAACCTTGATATTAGTTTGAGAATTCAAAAAATTGCTCTGCTTTAAATCTAATGTCTCTTTAAGGGAAGAACACAATTTTTTTTTTTGCAGTCCCTATACCATGGGAAAACAAATGTCAAATAAAATAAAAAATATAGGACACGAGATTCTTGTTAAAATAGAGTTTAAAAATAATTAGATGTACACATCTTATCTACGTGTTCAGGACTAATATGTTACAATGGTGGTGTTTGAGGGCTTGCCTTGTGCAAATGCTTCTAAAGCACTTGAGGAGGAGAATTTTATATTTCAGCAATGCTATAAGAATTTAATCGGATGTTTAATTCAATACAATTGGTGGATTAGTTATAAGTTTGGTGTATGTACACATGGATTGTCCATGAAATCACGTGCTAGACTACGTGTCTAGAAAACCATCGCCCTTGGTGGTGGGTTAGTTTTATGANAAATAAGCTCGCCTCGCCTTGCTTCTCGCCTAGGTGAGCGCCTAGGCAAGCTTTTCAAAACACTGCTCTCTCTCCTCCACTTCAAGCAGGCTGACGACGAAGACTTGGACAAAGTCTTGGGCCAGGTTCTTTCACTTGTTACTTTGGAACCTAACAGTAGATTGAAAAGAAAAAAAAAATGGTTAACAACTGAGCCTCTGAGCCTGAAGCCAACTGAACCTCCAGCAACCTAAAGTTTTGATTTCAAAACCTTTATGGGACACACCAAATACATTTTTTTTTTTTTTTGGTNATTGCCCAAAAATGGTTTATAATTTGCTAAAGAAAAAGAAAAATCCTATTTTCAGGGCCTCCAACCGGCCCATGGATCTTAGCCAATGCCCAGAGTTGTCCTGTGGCCCAAGCAGCGTTGGGACGAGGGGCCACATGATGGTTCAGGTCGGCCCATGAACATGATCCCACTCAGCCCTTTTGGCACTATTATTTGATAACAGTAATATTATTTAAATTTAAAAATTTGACATAATTTATTAACCCAATGATGTGGTTTCATTAAAATCATTAGATCAACATCAAGTTTTAATGTTTGATGAGACCCACAATCAATCCAAAGGTCGGTAAATTAGGTCTCAATAACATTGTTCTATTAGATAAATATTTATTTAGAGTATCTTTAAGCATGACTTAAATTTAGACTCAAATTTGAATAAAAAACTTGATTTGGTATAGAGTATTCAAATAGGTAAATTCAAATATCTATTCAATTTTTTTTTAAAATTCCCTTATTATCCAAAACTCATTTTTCTATAACGTTTAACACAAAATCCATATACACCGGACACGTAAACACCCAATAAAGTTTGATTGAATAAGTCAACGGGATCACAAAGAACTCGAGAAAATAAGAAGGAGAAAAAGAAAAACAAAAGGTTGGTTAAAATCAGAAAGAATGTTTCTTCAAAAAAAGACTTAAAAGAATAAGAAGAAAATTGGGGGTCTTGAATTTAATAGCATAATTACTTTGTTGAGGCTTTGCTCTGCCGAAAGAAATAACAGTGAAGATCATCAAGAACAATGGAAATGGAAAGGAAAGGTTAGTGGGTTCACCATAGTTTGTGATGTGATCAAGAAAGCTAGGGTTTCTTTGGGTGTTCTTGGAAGAAAAATTCAACCAAAAAAAAAAAAAAAGGAAAAATTTCAGTCACACACCTTCTTATTTATCATATCTTTAAGGACACCATATCTATTATTAAAAACATCACTAATACCCTTTTTAGTTTATATTTAAACATTATTGACACTTCTGTCATTAAACCATCATTTATAACAATAATAAAGTATCTAAACACACCAAAATTGCTCTTACATAAATTAATTTGAACTCTTGAAGTTTGAACCCTAAAATATAAAATAAAAAAAACAAAAAAAAATTTGACTGGATACACTTTTTAGGTCCTATTTGGATATAACTTTTTGGTCTTCAAATATAACCAAGTAAATCCTTTAAATAGTAAAATATTTGTAAGTAAGTACACTTTTTAGATTTAATTTTTTAATATTACATAATTATTTATACCTTGATTCATGCATAATTGATCGGTAGTTTCCTTTTATCCAATATGAAAATATTTGAATAGGTTCTTTATATTATTATTGTGATATATTCATGTTTGAATTTTAAAAACCGGACCTCAATTTATTTGGCATTATCATTTGGAATCGAGATTTGCTCTTCTTCAACGTTATAGTTTTTTTTTAAAAAGTTTTTTAAGTTTTTCGTCTATAACCATTTTTTTCGGTGGTTTTTTATTTCCATTTCAACAAGATTTTTTTTTTTTTTTTACAATTTTTTTGGAGTTTTTCTTCTGCATTTGATATTTTCATTACAGTTTTCTTGGAGTTTTACGCCTACAGTAAGTTTTTTTTTGAATGGATTTTTGTTCCAGTTATCAATGCCGAATACTCGAGAGTTTGAAACAGTTATCGACATCGAATAGTTGTTTTATATAACATGCAATATTTTTTTTTTTGGTGTTGCGAAATTTTGGTTTCTTCTTCACAATTTCCAAGTTGCGTCTTCTCTTCTAATCCGACGGAAATTGCTCGACGGGATGTGTTGATTTCGTCTTCTCTTTTTTGTCTTCTATGTTTTTTTTAATGAAACACATTCGTTTTTGAAAACAATGTNTGGTGGATTTGAGAAGGGTAGAAACTGGTCTTGAGAGTGAGCGATAGAGAGAGGCCATTGGAGATGGAGTTCAGTAAACGTAAGTGTTAGGGTTTGAGTAAACACAGAGTATGTGTATGTAGAGAGGCTTTTGATGGAGTTTTTGGATTCAGGAAAAACTTCATAGGGTAACAAGAAAAGCCGAGGGAAAATTTTGTAGGGTTTCCTCAATTAGAAAGAAAAAATGATGAAAACTGAAAATTATACGAAGCGAAATGATTGAGAGAAAAAATGAAATGACAATAGATTTTGAGTAATTCTAAATCTCAATAGTTTTACAATTATCAGTAATTAATCAACAACACCGAGAATTAGTAAAAGTCACTTTATCTATTTATTGTCTTTTAATTGAATGATGATATCACGTGACGATGGTAACATAGTGTCACTATTGCAATATTTTTTACCAAATGAGACCCAAAATTTTATAATTTAAATGTATATTATCATTTAAATGAGTGAGTATTATCAACTTTTTCGGTAGGACTTATTTATCGAACATTTACAAAGATTTTGTTGTTTCTTCAACAATTTGAGTTATACATTTGAATCGTCAGATTTTATTTGAATTGTGTAGTATTTTTTGGATTAATGAGTGTTTNTCATCGAACATTTACAAAGATCTTGTTGTTTCTTCAACAATTTGAGTTATACATTTGAATCGTCAGATTTTATTTGAATTGTGTAGTATTTTTTGGATTAATGAGTGTTTTTTTTTTTAAGGCTTTTTAAACATATCAATAATTGGCTAAATTATCTTTTTCTTCTTATTTCTATTTCTCTCTTTCCTTTTTTCCTATCATTCTATTACTAAAAAAATGGGCCCTGAAGAATTTTTTTTTCTTTCAAAATACTGGCTTTAGGAAAAGGGTCTTGCATGGAAAATCTAATGTAATGTATGGATTTCGATGGGGTTTTTTTTTTTTTTTTTTTTGTAGTGGTTCTAATTTTTCTGGTAATAAAGAAGGTTTATATTAAGAGAAAAAATAGGTTTTATTTTACAAGACAAAAATGTTTATATGACTTTATGCCTTTTTTTTTTTTGCTGGTGACATTTGTACAGTACAGTCGTATAGGTTTATTAGTCAATGTTGGAATCTCTGTTTATTCAACTTTTTGTATGCTTATAAATTTGGTTCAAACTCAAAAGTAAGCAGCCTCAAATTAAATTGTTGATATACTTGACTTCGAAGCGTGGATTTGGCATGTTTATTTTTATGTCGTGTTAATATATATATTTTATTAATAAAAAATTAATATTAAGAATTAAATATATAATTTTATTATCACTTAATCGAACACATCTATAAACTAAAAATTAATGCAATAAATATAATAATATCTTTTTTAAATAAGAATTATGTCAATAAATGATAAAAAAAAATAATAAAAGATGTGATATTTTATTCTCATAATACTGGTTAAACGTGTTAATCATGTCAATTTCATAATATTCATATTTGACACTAACCCGACCTATTTACTATTCTTGTTAACAAATTGTATTATTTACAGGTTTGTATCGAGAAATAGTCGACCCTAACTAATAAAGTTCGTGTCGATTTCAAATTATATTTTTGTATCGTATGATAAATTATCGTGCTTAGCTCAAATCATAACAGGTGGCAATAATGGAATAATTTATAATTACTCTAAGGTCTGTCCAAAATAAAAGTTTATCTTGGATTTATCAACCATGGATTAGGGTGGGTCGGGGCGGATTTCGATCATTCGGGTTATATAGACATCATTGCCTACAAGTAATTGATTGACCATCTTTGCAGTTTGCTTATGATACAAAACTCATTATCCTTATGACCTGGTTAACCCTTAACTTATGGTACTTCCTAACATTAAATGTTACACTGTACAAACCTTCTTTTAAATTAAAACCATTACCAACAAGCTCATTACCACCTCTAACGTGCCTTAAAGGACAACCATTGTATAGGATGAACGTACGACCAATTCAAAGGTAATTTCAAAACACATCCACACCTTTACACAATCCCTCACGTGTCCCACAAAACTCTCCAAAGAATCCCAACCACATCTACTACAAAACACACCCTTCAAACAGGAACTTTACTCTTGAATCCCTTACCCGCCAAACATAACAGCCATAACTACCTTCAAACTAACTTTAACTTGCCTCTCATGGAGTCTGTAGCCTCCAGTTCAACCCCAGCGGAGGAGCACCACCAACACCACCGTATTAAGTCAACACAACCCTTGGAAGACAGAGTCCTCCGAGCCATCCGCCACCGTCTCCGTCTCCTCCACCGGTCAAACTCAGACTTCTTCATCTTGGGCGCCACCGGGAATGTCTACACCGTGTCCTTATCTCTCACACCTTCGTGTTCTTGTCCAGATCGTACAACACCATGCAAACACATACTCTTTGTGTTGATTCGAGTTTTGGGTGTGTCACTAGATGATGGGTGTCTTTTAAGAAAAACTCTCCGGCCATGCGAACTCCATCGCCTACTTGGGTTGCCGATGTCCCCAGAATCATTCGCCGGAGATGGTGTTCGTGAATGGTTTCATCAGCTATACTTTCCAGCGAGGCAAGGTCCTTCAAGGCCGGTCGTGGAGATAGAGAATGGTGCAATGTGTCCGATATGTCTGGAGGAGATGGAGAGAAGAGAGAAACTGGTGGCCTGCGCAACGTGCCGAAATCCTATCCACAAGGAGTGTTTGATGGCATGGAAGAGGAGTAGCCGGAGAAAATCGGTCAGCTGCGTGATCTGCCGTGCACGGTGGAGAGATAGGGCGGAGCGGGAGAGGTACTTGAATCTTTCAGCTTATGTTAGCGATGAGGATATGGTGGAGGGTGGAAATCTTTGTGAAGATTAGGTGGCCGTTCATAAAGATTCAAATTGATAGGTAGATGAATTCAATTTGTAAATGGTTGTATAATAAGTGCAACATAGAAGATTTTTTTTTTTTTTTACAATTAGGGATATTCAGATTATTTACGTGCACATTGAAAATTTGCTCAGATGAATTTTGATTAACATGAATCTATTCTTTATGCTCAAGGAAAAAAAATCCAAAAAAGAAAAGAATAATTAGACAAATGGATTAACAATTTTGAAGTGACCTGAGACGCAAAAAGTTTGAGCGTTCGTAAGATTTAACTTTTTTATATTTAAAATTAATTTGAGTCATAAAAAACCTTGATATTAGTTTGAGAATTCAAAAAATTGCTCTGCTTTAAATCTAATGTCTCTTTAAGGGAAGAACACAATTTTTTTTTTGAAGTCCCTATACCATGGGAAAACAAATGTCAAATAAAATAAAAAATATAGGGCACGAGATTCTTGTTAAAATAGAGTTTAAAAATAATTAGATGTACACATCTTATCTAAGTGTTCAGGACTAATATGTTACAATGGTGGTGTTTGAGGGCTTGCCTTGTGCAAATGCTTCTAAAGCACTCGAGGAGGAGAATTTTATATTTCAGCAATGCTATAAAAATTTAATCGGATGTTTAATTCAATACAATTGGTGGATTATTTATAAGTTTGGTGTATGTACACATGGATTGTCCATGAAATCATGTGCTAGACTACGTGTCTAGAAAACCATCGCCCTTGGTGGTGGGTTAGTTTTATGAAAATGTACAATAAAAAATGTTATTGATTAAAAATTGAATTTATAAATCATATTTTATATCGTAATGGGACAAAAATTATTTTAATCCAATTTTTTAAGCACATTGTCCAGGGCTGATGCTAATTTTAAATAAAGTTATAATAACAATAACTTAATTTAAGGTGTTTTAGTTGAATTTCAATCTTTAATCCATGCTCAACTTTTTTTATTGCCCAAAAATGGTTTATAATTTGCTAAAGAAAAAGAAAAANAGATCAATATTTTTTATTGCCTAAAAATGGTTTATAATTTGCCAAAGAAAAAGAAAAATCCTATTTTCAGGGCCTCCAACCGGCCCATGGATCTTAGCCCATGCCCAGAGTTGTCCTGTGGCCCAAGCAGTGTTGGGACGAGGGGCCACATGATGGTTCAGGTCAGCCCATGAACATGATCAGACTCAGCCCTTTTGCACTATTATTTGATAACAGTAATATTATTTAGATTTAAAAATTTGATATAATTTATTGACCCAATGATGTGGTTTCATTAAAATCATTAGATCAATATCAAGTTTCAATGTTTGATGAGACCCACAATCAATCCAAAGGTCGGTAAATTAGGTCTCAATAACATTGTTCTATTAGATAAATATTTATTTAAAGTATCTTTAAGCATGACTTAAATTTAGACTCAAATTTGAATAAAAAACTTGATTTGGTATAGAGTATTCAAATAGGTAAATTCAAATATCTATTCAATTTTTTTTTAAAATTCCCTTATTATCCAAAACTCATTTTTCTATAACGTTTAACACAAAATCCATATACACCGGACACGTAAACACCCAATAAAGTTTGATTGAATAAGTCAACGGGATCACAAAGAACTCGAGAAAATAAGAAGGAGAAAAAGAAAAACAAAAGGTTGGTTAAAATCAGAAAGAATGTTTCTTCAAAAAAAGACTTAAAAGAATAAGAAGAAAATTGGGGGTCTTGAATTTAATAGCATAATTACTTTGTTGAGGCTTTGCTCTGCCGAAAGAAATAACAGCGAAGATCATCAAGAACATGGGAAATGGAAAGGAAAGGTTAGTGGGTTCACCATAGTTTGTGATGTGATCAAGAAAGCTAGGGTTTCTTTGGGTGTTCTTGGAAGAAAAATTCAACCAAAAAAAAAAAAAAAGGAAAAATTTCAGTCACACACCTTCTTGTTTATCATATCTTTAAAGACACCATATCTATTATTAAAAACATCACTAACACCCTTTTTAGTTTATATTTAAACATTATTGACACTTCTGTCATTAAACCATCATTTATAACAATAATAAAGTATCTAAACACACCAAAATTGCTCTTACATAAATTAATTTGAACTCTTGAAGTTTGAACCCTAAAATATAAAATAAAAAAAACAAAAAAAAATTTGACTGGATACACTTTTTAGGTCCTATTTGGATATAACTTTTTGGTCTTCAAATATAACCAAGTAAATCCTTTAAATAGTAAAATATTTGTAAGTAAGTACACTTTTTAGATTTAATTTTTTAATATTACATAATTATTTATACCTTGATTCATGCATAATTGATCGGTAGTTTCCTTTTATCCAATATGAAAATATTTGAATAGGTTCTTTATATTATTATTGTGATATATTCAATCGTTTGAATTTTAAAAACCGGACCTCAATTTATTTGGCATTATCATTTGGAATCGAGATTTGCTCTTCTTCAACGTTATAGTTTTTTTTTAAAAAGTTTTTTAAGTTTTTCGTCTATAACCATTTTTTTCGGTGGTTTTTTATTTCCATTTCAACAAGATTTTTTTTTTTTTTTTAAAATTTTTTTGGAGTTTTTCTTCTGCATTTGATATTTTCATTACAGTTTTCTTGGAGTTTTACGCCTACAGTAAGTTTTTTTTTGAATGGATTTTTGTTCCAGTTATCAATGCCGAATACTCGAGAGTTTGAAACAGTTATCGACATCGAATAGTTGTTTTATATAACATGCAATATTTTTTTTTTTGGTGTTGCGAAATTTTGGTTTCTTCTTCACAATTTCCAAGTTGCGTCTTCTCTTCTAATCCGACGGAAATTGCTCGACGGGATGTGTTGATTTCGTCTTCTCTTTTTTGTCTTCTATGTTTTTTTTAATGAAACACATTCGTTTTTGAAAACAATGTAACAATATAAAAATCAATGTGACAAATTACTCAAAAATAATGTAACAGTATATTAAACAATGTGACAAGTTAATCAAAAATAATATAACTACATATTAAAAAAAATGTGACAATGTACTAAAAAATAATGTAATAACATATTAAACAATATGACAAGTTACTCAAAAATAATGTAACAACATAAAAAATAATGCGACAAATTACTCAAAAATAATGTGACAAGTTATTAAAAAAATTGATAAATTACTTATATTTGNAAAATGCGAAAAAATTACTCAAAAATAATGTGACAAGTTATTAAAAAAATTGATAAATTACTTATATTTGTTATTTAAAGATTACAAAATTTAACAACATTAAATCTTGAAAATCATGATTCAAAAAACAATAGAACCGAAAATATTATTTTCTTTTAGAAATTGAAATGGACGAAATCTATGGCGTGATCGACTGTAATGGTGGTGAAGGAACTATTTTGGTGATCAAAGCTTCCAATCGAAAGTTTTTTAAGACAAATGTGCAATCTCCTTGGTGATATCAGATTTTTCAAAGTGACGAAATTAATGATTTCAAAAAAATATGGAGTAACGAAATTAGTGGGATTATTTCTTTAAAATTCAAAGAAACGAATCAATGTGAAATCCGTTTAGAAATATATCCGACATCCTTGTTCTAAGAAAACGTGGTTACTATTTTTGGCGTTGATTTAGGAAGTGGTGAGTGGTGTTTTATTTTTCTTAGAAAATTGAAGTTTGAGCGTTCAAGACTTATACTTGAAGGGTACAACTGACTTTTTCACTTAATGTGGACTTCTATTCAAAAATAATTTGAAAAAGAACTTTCTCTCAAATAAGAATTAATTAGGGAACCGGCTTCCAATGTTTCCAAAAAAAAAAAAAATATATATGCCTATTCTGCTAAAAGGGTAAATTTTTTGGGGCCCTAAAAATTTAGATCATATGTAAAATACATATAAAAAAAAAACCTATTATACTAAAAAAAACAAAATTTGGGATCCTAGACAAGCATCTTAGTTTGTCTATGCCTAAAGTCGACACTGAGTATTTAAGTTTGAGGGAGTAGTTGACGTAAACACACTCTGTAGCCCAAAAAATAAAAATGATTTTATTTCATTTGCCTCAAAAACTAATAAGTAGTGAATATTTTTCTTCCAAAACATAACTTGAGGTAAAGTGGCAAACATTCATTCTTGGGTTACTGAGCTATCATGCCACTCTAAGCTTAAAAAAGGCACCACCACCTGTCCACCCACCTGTAAGCATTTAGTCTGTTCAAGCTTTGCGACAAGGCGATAAGCGTTATCAATTTGATCTGTGTCATTGTCGATAGAAATAAGGGAAAATTTCACCCACCCCCCTCCTAATTTATTTTATCTTGAAAAACGCCCCCCTCTATTATTAAAAACATCACTCAGATCCGTTATATAACCAAAAATGCCCCCTACATAAACCTCAAGTAATTTTTCTACATAAAATTTTATTAAAATTCAAACTGTTAAAATTTTAAAAAAAATTTGTAAATAAAAATTTTAGTAAATAATTTGTTAGTAAATACTAATTTGTAAATTTTTTTAAAGCAATCGATCCTATTAAAATTTATTTTTTACATATTAAAATTTGAGTTGATTTGAACTCTACCTAAGTTGTTAGCACCGATTAAAATTTTCTTTCGAGTCGATTAAAATTTATATTTTTTTATTTATTAAAATTCGTGTCCATTGAAATTTGATTTATTAAAATTTGAGTCAATTAAAATTTATATATTTTTATATATTAAAATTTGTACTGATTAAAATTCAATACAAATTGATTAAAATTTGATTTGAGTCAATAAAAATAATTTTTAATTGGCTCAAATAAAATTTTAACTAGCCCAAATTTTAATACGTAAAAAAAATATAATTTTTAATTGGCTCAAATTTTAATATGTAAAAAAATAAATTTTAATTAGCTTGAATCGAATTTTAATACGTAAAAAAAATTTTAAAAAAAAGGGGGTCTCATTGAAGATATATTTATTTAGAGGGGGTGTGGATAAAATTTGTTCTCAAATATATCATGAGCAATTTAGTAAAATTGTATTGTAACTAATTTGACAAGGGGTGTCATTGAAGATTCAAAAAATAGAAAAGGTGTTCTTAAATATATAATAAACTAGAGGAAGTGTGGTTAAAATTTTTCGTAGAAATAAATGTGTGTGGAAAGTTATAATAACCCCTACCAAATTAAACCCCACAACAATTCTCCCTCGTCTTTCAACCCCTCCATCTTTCTCTTTATT